CATCGGTCGTGTGCCGTGTAGAAATAACTCTCTCGCATTTTAACATCGTTTCGTGTACTATTATGAATTCGTGGCGCGTCTCGAGATTGCGTCACCCCTGTTCAATAATTCAAAAACAGGTTGCAAATCCGTTCCACCATTTAAGAAACGTCTCGATAAAGTTGCTTTTCGTTGCATGCAAGATTTCATCTTGCATACATACATTTTTCGTCGTCGACCTAACCTTATTCTGATCACTGCAATATGGAAACTTTATTACGACGATATTAATGCAATTTTTCGCGATATATTTGGTGCATAATATAATATAATTCTACTTTAGATTAATTTTATTTTTTATTATCAATAACGAATGAAATTTAATAATTTTAATAAGAAAAAATTATCGATCGATTATATTTAGAATCTATAGATTGATTCGATATTATATCAAAGATTATTTCAATATCGAATAAGATAAGATTAGCATATATAACAAAATAGATTTGAATTTCTTCTTTTTTTTATTTATTTATTTATTTGTCTAAAGATTGATTTTAATACTTAGAATAATAACGATAAATTTAGAAAATTCTTCCTTAAGTGAATATTTTTTTTTTTTCAGGAAAAATAAATTTTTTAAACAAAATCGAGCACAAAGTTATTAGGGTTAATAGTTGGAAAATTATTGAGCATGTGACTTCTCAAGATTACGATAATGACGTGAATTCACAATGACAGCGCATGCTTGATATCGACTTGTAGCAGCAACAGTTTCGTAAAACGCAGTCATAGCCGCAGTAGCGACAGCAATAGAGAATCACGATAAATAGAGAGGGAAACAGAAATACTGGTAAGAATCTCACGAAGATTCTTTAGCGATTTTTCGATTCTCCCTCACAATTAAATATTACAAATTGCAATTTTTAATTTTTCCATTTTTTAATCTCTCAAATTAAACAATCATTCATTATTAATTCGTTGTTTCTTCTTTATATACAATTCTTAATCTTGAAACTCAAATATTATAATTGCATTCTTCTATTCTTATTATCTCAATTATTCTTTTAAATTAAACGATAAATTATTTTTAATCCACTTTTTTTTATTTGTAATTTTAAATTTTCCAACTCGAAATATTTTTTTAAGAGATTTCCAAAAATTAATTTCCAAAAGAGATTATCGATTTGATTCAAAAAATTGTTGGACGAATGAAATAAAGATAACAAATTTACATTTTCACTTATGGCATAGATTTAAAATAATGCCACATTATTAAGATCAAACATCGTAAAGTTCCACGCCCTCATTAACACATACCTTCTAAACGATTTCATTAAGATCGCTCGGGGAATGGAGGGATTCGTGAAAAAGGAGCAAAATTCCACTCGTTTTTAATTAGCCTCAAAATATTCCTGACTGCTTATAACTTAACGTATTAGAAACGTTCGAAAAACATGGGACACGTCGGTGGGAAAGAAAGGAAAAGAAAAAAAAGGAAAAATAATAAAAAGAAGCGCCATCGGCGTTCGCACGATGGGCGCAGTCGCGCCGAAATTCTATCGCCAGTCCAACATTGACCGTCGTCCGTGTTCGCATTTTTTTCTGGTTTTCCGCTCGAGAAAACAGCCTTGGAACGATAAATATATCTAAAAGAAACGTACAAACGACGTAGAAAAATTTTAACGTCGATAAAAGAGAAATATCTGATATACTTGGAATTTTTTTTTTTTTTTTTTTTTTTCCTCCGTTTTCTCCTACGTTCGTCCAAACGGAAATTTTATTTTATCACTCGATTCATCGATTTTAAAATAATAGGATAGGAATTGTAACACCCTGTATGATCGTATTTTTTTTTTTTTTTTTTATAGAAGAAAGTCAATTTGATTTGTTTTCTTTTTTGAAAAGTAATAATTCTGTATTATTCCAATGATGGATATTTGAATGAAATTCGTAAACTAAATTGTTTACCTTCGTGTTTCGTGGATATTAAAGTGATAGTGGTCCGTTTGGACAACGCATTGAATTCGAGACGCCGCTTGTTGCATTCGTGATATTGTAAACAATTGGAGATGTTCAAGAGAGTGGCCTCTCTGCACGCCACCCTTCCGTTCTGCGGCATGAATTCCGTGGTGGAGGAATTTTGGAACGCTTCCAGGAGGTAGCTATTTGACTGTTGAAAAGTTAAAATTGTTGTCACCTCCGATTTACAGTCACCTCTAATCATTATTTTAATTTATCGATCTTTTTTAATCATATATCATTTTTAAATTTTGTAAATTCATTGAATTTTGACGAATCCACGATAAAACATTTCGAAAACTTTTTATTTTATATCAAGATTTAAATATAACAAAATATGTTATAACAAAGAACTATCCTCTATGACTATTGCAATTTACTTGAAATAAAAAAGTGGATCAGATTACAATTATAATTTTGTCGACTTTAATTATTCAAAAAAATATCGATTTTGATCGAAAATGATTTCTCCATCGGCTCGTTTACTCACTTAACTGCTTAACTCTATCGTCCCACTCCCACTTTCGGAAAGTGCACCGCAAATATTCATCAATAACGCGGTAAACTTGATCAACCGCTTGTTGCATGCATCTCGAGTAAGCAAGTGGGCTTAAATGCAGTTTCATGCATCATATCTTCCTTTTTAAGTAATGCAACTTTAAGAATATTGTAAACAGTTTTTAATAATCTGATAACAATTGTTTAAAAAAGAATGATCGATGAATGACAAAGAAACGCGTTAAACGTTCTAAACGAGGTAATCAAGTGAGCAAAAAGTGGATAGAAGGGCAAGACACATATTTTTTTTGTCACTGTTAAAGAAAGAGAAGTAAGATTCGATTTCGTTAAAATTTGAATTTTATTTTATATTCATTCGTACAATATTTTTTTTTTTATTATTTTTAATAAAATTGATTTTACAATTTTTATCTTCCAAATTCCATTTTTTCCAATATTATTCAATGTCCTTATGGGAATCAATATTTTAAAATGAGCAAATAAAAAAAAAGCGATATTTATCTTCGTCAATAATGGATAATTTCCGATATTTCGAAATTTTTATTCGTATTCCAGACTTTATCTTCGCGATATTTTTTTTAATATCCCTGTGAGAAATGGTCTCAAAGGGGAATAAAAAAAGAAACAAAAAAAAAAAAAAAAAAAAAATCAAACGGCAAGCAACGATCGAAATATCGAAAGATTTGATAAACGAGCTACTAAAATAACCATACCACCGTATCACATGAATTGATATAAACTAGATTTATTAATAGAAAAACGGAGACATCGATCGATGCTAAGGCCGTACGTATTGGTTCATCTTCGTTTTACAACCAGCTTCAAATTAATTGCATTAAACCAATTAAACTAAAGCCAATTGATAAAAAACACGATCAAAATTTGTGTAACATTATTTCCATAAAAATCAAGCCAAATATCGATATGTACGTATCGATAAAAATTAAGAAAAAAATATTAGATGTTAAAAATTTTACGAGATCAAAACTCGAATATGTAAATTTAAATTATTCTATTTGCAGTGTTTTGGTATATCGAGAGAGAAATCTATAAGGAATAATAATAATAATAATAATAATAATAATAATAATAATAATAATAATAATAAAAAAAGAAATAATCGAAAAGGCGAAAATGCCTGGGACAATGGCGCGGGAAGGGGGATGGAACGTCGAGGAGGGTGAATTTGTGCAGTAAGCGAACGACCATGTCGATGTACGCACCCCTCTGATCAACGAACTGTGTCACCCCCAGGTAAAACGGTTGAAGATGCTCGAGGAACATTAATATATCACGTCCCATGCATGTGTTACATTTTGAATATCGAATGGAGAAGTCACCATCTTGGTGAAATTGGCAGAATGAAATGCAAATTTCAGATTTTCATCACCCATTATTAGCTATTTCGAAAGCGAAAGATCATATACACGTGCATATTGGAAACTTATTTTATATATCTTTTGTTACTCGATTTAAAATTCCATTTTTCGAATTCCTCCATTTAATAATTGAATAATAATCGTTGAGAATATTCAATCTCAAAGAATGCAATTTTTTACAAAGACGAAAATAAAAAGTAATATTTTTCTGAATTGCTAATAAAACTAACTGAACGAATAAACAAAACTGAGAGAAAAGTGACTAAAAGATCGGTATAAATTTCTCACGAGAAAGCTTAAAATTAATTAAAGCTTCGATCGAGAGAAAAGAATTACCAATTGAGAAAATTAAGAAAATATATATCTATATATATATCTATATACGTGATAAATAAACAAAGGGAAATGATAAAAGATCGTGCAAATTTCACAGAAAAAGCGATAAATTATATAAATTATATAAATTTCTCACGAGAAAGCTTAAAATTAATTAAAGCTTCGATCGAGAGAAAAGAATTACCAATTGAGAAAATTAAGAAAATATATATCTATATATATATCTATATACGTGATAAATAAACAAAGGGAAATGATAAAAGATCGTGCAAATTTCACAGAAAAAGAGATGATCTGTCGAAAACCCCCACCCCGGTGGCCTGACTCGAATTGTAAACAAAATCGGGGGTTGAGGGTGAGGAAGAGGGCGAGTGGAGGGGGCAGGGAGAACGGAGGTGGTAGGTGTCGGTGGTATACTCGCCAGTAGCACGGCGGTCACAGATCCTTTCGGAACACAGAAAAGCTGGCCGACCTCTTCATCTTCTCAAACATCCACGTCTCTTTGCCACGACGATGGATTGGCACTCGATCTTCTTCGATTTCTTTCTCAAATCTATGAAATCGATGAAGTGAGAGTCATCGTTTCTCTGTAATTTTTTTTTTTTTTTTGTTCCCAACTCGATCAACGAGGAAGGAAAATCGTATCGATAAATCGTGGATACAATTCTCGACAAAGTGAAGACTGTTACCCTTTTCGAATGTGTTGAGTAAGAAAATCAAGAGGGGAGAAAGAAAAAAAAAAAACAAAGAAAGAGTCGGAAGGGTTTCAAGGTGTTTATCGAGGATCGATGATCGATTGGCTGCGGCGGATCGAACGTAGCCGCGATGCCAACATTGCATCGGTCGTTGACACAGTTCCCCGCTTGAAATTCGGCCCAGTGTGTCTAGCTGCTCCAGTTGATCCAGGGATTTTCAATATCACGGGTTGAGAAAGGATGAAGGCTGAAAGCAACAACGGATACTTGAAGACGAGCGTAATCGTGGAGCAGAACGAGATATCGCTTGGTTCCGGTCAGGAGACACCTGCCACTAGCCCTCTTCAGGTGAGGAATCTCTTAGGCTCCAATTATGTTAATCTTATTTCGTTACTTATTATTCGTTTCGTGCAATCGATCTTCTCACTTATCGTTACTTTTATATCTATCGTTTCGTGTTTATTTTTCTAAATTTAGATCGTCCATTTTTTTTTAAGTCACTTAAAAAAAAAATACAAAAAAGAAAATACAATATTTTTTGTGAAAATAGACGAATATCGAATAGAAGAAAAAGAAAGAATTCAAATTCAATGATTTAATCGATCAAATTATTCACTCGATTCAAAAATACGAATTATTTCTCAAGCTTCTTTTTAAAAAAATATACGAATCCTAAAAAGAAAGAAAAATAATGTAACACTCTTATCTTAAAAAAAAAAAAAAAAAAAAAAAAAGATGTTACACGACTTCATATAAGAAGAGCCACTATTTCATAACTGGTGGTTGTAGACGCTCGAAACTTTGTTGTGACGACAGGTGACTTATGGCCCCCGTGGAAGCGCAACGACCACGGTCCTTCAGAAGCATCCTGGGAACAGGCGGAAGTCGCTAGGAATAACGCGGGCGACGTCAATCAGACGAAGAGGGCCGGCCAACAGGCAGCAATTGCTCGGTGTGCTCGCCGTCACTCTCCTCGCCACTTGCCTTTTTATTCTTCTGCTGTTGGCGTTGAACACGAGCCGCGAATGCGTGCAAGAGCCCCGTAAGTTGAATTAACCCTAAATGATACGATTAGTTCCGATGGGTCTGGTTAATTAAACGACCGACAGTGGATCGAGCGAGCGATACCGCCTGCACTCCAAGTTGATTCGAGCACGGAGTGGGGGTGTAGGTGTCGAAGAATAGCAATACGAGGAACTATTGAGTTGATCCGAAGATTGACGTGGAATTAGAGTGAGTTAGGGTTTGGCCGAGCGCGACAGAGAGCGCGCTAGGGTAGTCGCGGGCATAGAGCGCGCTAGTGTCGAGTCGTGCACGCTCGGGGAGTACAATGGTTTCACAAGCCGTTGAATCGTAGATTCGAAGATTGATCTGGAATTGAAATGAGTTAGTTTGATGTTGAGGTAGATTGGAGGATATTGAATGAGAATTGATCGTTTTTTTTTTTTTTTTAGGGTCGCGTAAATTTTAATTAAAATAACGATCCTCGTATTAAAGCTTGAAATCGAAGTTGAGTAATTAAGATTGTCTAAGACAGATAGAAAGTAGATTTTTTTTTTTTAAATAGTTGATTATATATGATAATAAGGGATATCGATATTAATTTCTCTCAGTTTTCTCTTTTTCTATATTTAGATAAACTTAATATTTAATAGTAGTTAAATCGGAGATAAATTTAAATGTAAAGATTTGTATTGATTTAAAGCTTTATCTTTTATCTTTTGATATGGAAATAATATGGTAATGTATGTAGATTCATATGTTAAGATAGATTAATGTATTCCAGAAAAATTAAATTAGATTCTTGTTAAAAAGTGAGTATTCTCGGAGATTTTTTGATCAAATTATTCAAGACAAGCCTCGTAACAAGCTCTTTTTCAATATATTGCAAAACTTGATGCATTGTGTGGAGAAGAAGAAAATTGTTAAAACTTTTATTGGGAAGTTCGTCCACTTCTTTCTCGTGGAGAAGTCTTTCTAATTTTGCTTGCGGAAACCTTCTTTAAAAGACTTTAATTACAACTTTACTTTACTTTTAAAGGAATGTTGCAGAAAAGGACGCGTTCCCGTGTGAAATTACTCGAAAAAATATTTGTATTTTTTACTGTATAAAGAAGTAGAACTTTATCTTGAGCGCAAAAGTTTATTTTTCAACAACTGTGTAATTTGAGATACTTTAAATTTAAACGAAATATTTAATTCTCTAAAATGAATGTAATATTTGCTTGTAAAAAAAGAAGATTAAAATTATGTTATATTTTTATTCATATTTTTTTTTGTCATTTTCTTAGCTTAAAATATTATTTAATACATATTTATCAAATATATCTGCAAAAATTTCTCGATGAAAATTTCGAGTTCGATATAAGAAAGTTATAATCAAAGTGTTATTTACAGAGAAAAAGAAAAAAAAGAAAAAAGGAAAAAAATAGCAAACCGCTTTCAAACCTCGTGTCAGAAGCAAGCATCAATCAGCCGAATCGAATCGAGTCGAGGCTATCAAGTTCTGCTCGAAAAGGCCGGTGTTACCTCATTGCTTGTGGCAAAAGAATTAATCATTTTTGTGATATCCATTAAAGAAAGATGGAACAGAGAGAAATTTTTTTTTCGATGAAATAATTTCGTTTGATAAATAAATTATTATAAATATATCTTGGATCTCGTTCTTCTTTATGGAAAATAATTGTATTGTTCTAATAATTTTTTAATTTCCATGTGATGATTAGAAATCTTTTAAATAATAAGATATGATGCAAATTATGTGAAATTAAATGAGATTTAAGATATTTTACCGATTCAAAAAATGATCGATTTGACGTGAAATGATTCTATAAATGAATTATTCATTATTGGTTAAATGAAAATTCCACGTGGAACACCTTTCGTAAAGATAAAAATACGAACAAGATCATTTTTTTTTTCTTTCTGGCTTCGTATGCTGGAAACAGAAACAATAAAGCCACGTTTATCGAACTGGAAAATTGCTTTTTATTGTGGTTCGATGTTGGATCCGTGTTAATGACGCAGAAAATTGCTATCTCCTTTTTCAATAAACCGTATAAATATATTATATGATTCTAAACAAATTATTCACACTGAACGATTTTCACGTTTCGCGTGAAACATCATTTAAAAATGATATTTAAGAATCACGGCATGCTTAAAATAGTTGTATTTTTTTCTTCATTTCAGGTCCAAACGTTTGCATGACAGAGGAATGCATCAGAACAGGTAAATTCCAAAATTTATATAATAAAATAAATAATGCCTTCTTTCGATCTCCAAGTTGAGAACCACTATATTAGATCCCATTATCCAAATAGCATTCCTAATATATTCAAACTATTCAATTTTCAAAATTTCAATCACAATATAAAATCACAAAAAATACTTTTCACGAATAAAAAATTATCCGTTTCTCGAAAAATTATCTTTCAAAATATCATAAAATTATTCGAATCACAAATAAAATCTTTCCAATCCTTTCATAAAATTATTCGATCTTAAAAATTTTCAAAAAGTCACCTTTCAAAATTTCACAAAATTCCGATCGATACGAATCGATACAAAGAAAATCCTTGAAATTCTTTTATAAAATCAAAAAATTACATAACATAAACATAAACGCCATCACAAATGCATCACGTCTTCTTTCCTAACCTCAATATTTACCAATGTAACGCCACACACATCGAATCGCGAGGCAACGAGGCAACGGGCAAATATCGAAACGAAAAAGGAAGAGAAAAATCGGCTGTTCGAGCATGGACGCTCGATGAAATATCGCTCGGCCGATATAGTCGAGCCAAATGGAATTAGATCAGCGAGAACTGATTGGTGGCCGGTCGGAATTGCGTTGTCCAGCGTGAAACGCGTGCCGCTTCGCACACGTCTGCAAATCGGATTAACTGTCCTCCTCCCCCCGTGGAATTGCCTGTTGACCGAGGACCGGCCTGCCATTCGATTTTCATTTGTCACGAAATTCGCCATTCGACCTTCCGACGATACGTGGCCGTCGTTTAATTGCACCGGAAACGCGGCCAATCCCGGAGACACGTACACGCGGCCCAATCCCCCGATTATTTATTCATCCGCAGTGGGCGACGTGGACGAGTTGAATTTTTGATCGTTCATCATGATTTTCCAGATTTGTCAACGATATTCAACGAGCTTAAAGCGATTGGATTTATTATATAGATGATTCGTTTGTTAGAATTTGATTATCGGGCAATCGTGCCAAATTTAAAATTTTATTCCGATTTAATTTTTCGATCTTTGGGTCGTGTCGGGGAGAGAGGAGAATTTAAACGAATTTTACTCGTGATCGAATATATTATTTGGAAAATGATTTTTTTTTTATCTTGAAAAATATTGTACGTATCTTGTATGACGATGATCATAGTTTGAATTAATTTTTCTCAATTTTAACAATGTTGCTACAAATTTTATTTTTTTCTCAAGTTTCTCATTTTATTTTATTAAAACAAGAGATTAGAAAGAGATTTGATTTTTTGTAGAAAATTTCTAAAGCTTAGAAATTTTATATATGAATTTGTAACAAATTCGCAAGAAGTTAGACTAGATTTTCATTACAAATTACAATATTTTTATATCGATAAAAATTGAATTATGATTTACAGAATGTAAAATAAATAGAGGGTTGAATGTCCGAAGAAGTAAGTCGATCCTTCTCTGACTTGAAATTTCAAATAAGACGGGGGTAGTTGAGATTCCATAATAGGTGTAATTAAATTCTTTTTTTTAATGTCTCATAATTACCATGTCTCTCTGGATTGGACGAGGGGACCTCTATGTACGAAGGAAAAAAATGCAGAAAGGAAAAAATGGTGCTCGACCTGAATTTAAAATGGCTGAAAAATAACAGCCACTCCGCCAAACACCAGTACTTGAGGAATCTGAGATTGACTTGTTTATTAAATATAATTACGAAAACGTTTCCCAGCGTGGTTTTCTCTAGTTTCGACGTAGACGTTAATTATCTGTATGTTGTTTATGAAAAAAATGCATATTTTTTTTTTTAATCAAAAAATTGGCAATAAAATGGAATATAAAATACTTGAATATAAAATAATAATTTAATATCGAATAATTTTATAAGTTCTATCTATTTTGTAAATTTTGATATTTTTTTCAATCTATAATATTCTTTATATATTTTATTTGAGCTTGAGAAAAATTTTACATTTCAAATATTTCGATTATTCAAATATATACTTCAAAATGAAGTTAAATTATACATTAATGAAGCAAAACTTTCTATTTTCCTTTTTTTTTTTTTTTAATAATTATTTTAATAGATAGATAGATAAATAAATTCAATCAAAGCTTGATACCTATGAGATTATCCAAGGATGGTGTTATTACTCGTTACAAATAGTTTATCGGAGGTGTAATCAATGTTGAGATCACTGCTGCCCTCGTTAAAGCTCTCTCGCTCGATTGGACGACGAAGATACAAACCCTATCTCGTAAAATTACCCGGTTCGATTAAACGATTCGGATTTACCCCCTTTTAACTTTGTTTTAAAATTGTATTCAAATGTCGAAACAATTTAACAAATTCGATTATTTAGAAATTAATTCAATTGTCCAGATTAAAAAAAAAAACTCTGATTTATCGAAAAGAATTAAATTATATATATAAACTATGTCTTCAGAGTTATTCATATGTCTATAATTCTCAAATTTTGTTTCATTAGATTACATTACTACCACACTGTATTATTGTATCTAAACAAAAATTAATATTTTAGATAGAAATTTAAAATCGTGAAAAATAATGTTTGGTGTGAAACATATGTGAATTATTGTCTCATTCTAAATGCATAAACGATATAGCTCATAAATCGTGGCACCAACCTGTTGACAGAAAATGAGATTGCGCAGAACAATCTTACAACGGGGTTGATTAGGATTGATATTATACATCCACGTTCCTATTGAATCAGATATCTATTTTTCCTTCCTTTTCTCCTTTTTTCCCTTCGTTTTCTTTTTTTTTTTTCCCATATTTTCATTTTATTACTTCAGACGTTTCTCCTCTATTGCCGCCAGTGAAATTCAATTTCCTGCCAATGACAGGGTAATTTTATATTCTTGCGTTAAAGGTATTGGAGCCGATATCGGCTTCAGAATTTAATGTCAGCCAATTTGATGTTTGTCAATGTGACCTTAGATGAATGCGTATGAACAATAATTTTTCGCTCGTTCCCCGAGAAAAATTTCATCACCTTTCATAAAAAGGAAATGGAACATTTGCCATGAAACCATAGAAATGTTTTATCTTTTATACATTATCCGATATTGATTAAATTTTTAATATTATAAAAAAAAAAACCAAATATATAAATTCTTACCTCAATAGTATTTAATATTCTATTACAATAATCTTCATAAAGTAATTATAACTCGTTGTGTAATCATCTTCTATCACTTATAATCACTTATAGTCATATTATAACCACAATTGTATCAATAGAAAAGATTATAGTTATCTTATAATCACTTATACTCATCATAATAATAGTAAATAACAGTAATCACAAAATCACATTAAAACCAATAATTTAATAGCTAGTGATTTTATGTTTTGATTATGTATTATAGTCACTATTAATCATATTATAATATTACCTTCAATTGCTTTTCATATGATCTTTTATATATAAAATATGCAATAATATAATCACTTGCAATAAATATTTGAATTCTTAACCATGTAATCCTTCTTTCAGCTGCCAGTCTACTCTCGGCGATGGATCGGACAGCAGCGCCATGCGTGAATTTCTTCCAGTACGCGTGTGGTACGTGGAACCGTCGTCACGTGATCCCAGAGGATCGAAGTTCGATCAGCACGTTCGAAGTGTTGGCCAATCAGTTACAAGTAATTCTGAAACGCATCCTGGAGGAACCACCGAACAACGAAGACAACAACGCCACCTTGAAAGCGAAGATGTTCTACAAGTCTTGCATGGACATCCGTGGGTACAACGAAAATTCTTTTCGAACTTGCATCTTCTCGAGAAATCTTACATGTCATCTTGATCTTCGGCTAAGACAAAGAGAAGAAGGAAAAATGAAGTTTTGAGGTTAAAAAGTGTTCTTTGTTTATTTGTTTTTATAGCTCGTATAAGGGAGATAGGAGATATACCATTGAGAAAGACGTTAGAGTTTCTTGGCGGTTGGCCAGTAGTGGTTGGACCATCATGGAAGCCACCTCCATATTCCGTCGAGGTTTTGCTAGGTCGATTAAGAGGCCAGTACAACGAGGGAGTGTTGTTGGAACAATGGGTCGGTCCAGATGACAAGAACTCCTCGGCCAATATCCTCCAGGTGCGCCGGCAAAGTAAGGCCCCTTGGTCTACAACTGCACTGTATAATTGGATTGGATTTCAATATTACGTTAAGAATTGAAAAGAATATAATAGGATTTTTAATCATCTGAAAGACTTTTGTCGAAATTTTTCTTATTATATATGAAATATAAAAGATGATCAGATGAAGCGACAATTCTCAGATACTATGAGTTTACGTTAAAAGTAATTTTCAGTAGTGTCCAGTTTTGGGTACTATTACGAACTGTTGGTTGGAACTTGGAAAAAATGGAATTCTACCGTAATCTAAGTACTATGAAAATTTCTATTGCGCTTCCAATTTAAGATAATATCATTTGTTCAATCCACGAGTGAACGAAAAAAAAAAATGACCATTCAACTATTTTTGTCAGCTGGATCAAATGCAAGTAGCGTTGCCAAGTAGAGACTATTACTTGAAGAAGAGCAGCGAGTCTCAACTACACGCGTATCATCGTTATATGACAAACATTGCTGTATTGATGGGTGCTAATAGACAGACAGCTGTCGAGGAATTCAATCGCGTAATCAATTTGGAGAAACAATTAGCAAATGTACGACTGAATGAAATATTTAATTTAATCGAGACTAATAATAATTTTCAAATATAAAATTCATCGATTAATGAATTAATGAAAATTTCAGGTGTCGATACCAGAGGATGATAGACACGATACGTCTGCTATTTATCGGAAGTTGACATTGCGCGAGCTGCAGCGTGAAATTCCACAACTGAAGTGGCACGAGTATCTTCAAGAATTCATCAATTCTCCTATAACGGAAGAAGAGCCCATTGTTGCGTATGCCATGCCATATTTCATGCAAATGGGTCGTATCGTAAAAAGAACGGATCGCAGGTAATGGAAAAATACGTTCTCAATTTCTGGAATTTACGATATTCTACAATTTTTTTAATCTTTCAGAAGAAAAGTAACAATTTGTTGAGTATATATCATTTTTACAGAACGTTGCATAATTATATATTGTGGAGATTGGTCATGTCCATAATGCCTCACATGATAGACGAATATCAGCAAAAGAGAGTCGAATTTCGAAAGATACTGTTGGGTATACTAAGTGAGAGGGATAGATGGTCTCAATGTGTTGAATGGACGAACAAAAAGCTTGGTATGGCTGTGGGTGCACTTTTCATTCGTGACAACTTCAATCATGAAAGCAAGGTGACTTTTATTCATCATTGATTCATTCTTTATATATAAGTCATAATAATTGAATAAAGAGAAATAAATTGATAAATAGGTTTAAAATTGAACGATAATTTATGAATAAAAAATGGACAGCAATTTTTGAAAAAAAAAAATTTATGGAAACTTATTTGTTGGCTTTTGATAATTCTGGAGAACATGATTTGTTTTTCAGGAGACGGCACTTGAGATGATTCGTACCATACGAGAGGCGTTTAACGAGTTATTGGCCGAAAATCATTGGATGGATAATGAAACTAGAGCCGTGGCCAAGAACAAAGCTAACTCAATGAATGAAAGAATTGGATATCCTGAATTTTTAAAAGATCCTGTTGAACTTTCCAAGGAATATGTAATGGTACTTAATAATTTCATAAAAGAAAAAAAAATTCAAATAATAATAATGATAAGATTCAATAATAATAATTTTTACTTTTTTTTGTTTTTCATTAACAGTTGAACATTACCGAGAATCATTTCCTTGAGAACGTGCTAGCTGTGTTAAGATACGACGCTTATCACAATTTGGAGAAGCTGCGAAAACCGGTTGATAAGGACAAATGGTCAACAGAGCCAGCCGTGGTAAATGCCTTCTACAATCCCAATAAAAACGACATTGGTAAATTTAATCTTGTTTAAATTGAATTGAATTTTAATCTCCTATATTAATATTTTTATTTTATTTTAGTTTTTCCAGCTGGAATTCTTCAGCCACTCTTCTACTCCCAGCATTTTCCAAAATCGTTGAATTATGGTGGAATAGGTGTGGTGATTGGTCATGAGATTACTCACGGTTTTGATGATAAAGGACGTCAGTTTGATAAGGATGGAAACATGATGCAATGGTGGAACAATGTCACTGTGAAAGCTTTCAGGGAAAGAGCTCAATGTATCGTGGATCAATATTCAAGATACAAATTGCAAGAGGTTGATTTGTACATCAATGGAAAAATGACTCAAGGAGAGAATATTGCTGATAATGGAGGACTCAAACAATCATTTCGGGTAATATTATATATTTAATTATATATTTATATATTATATATTTATATATTTATATATAATGTTTGTAATGAATGATCATCAATCTTACCTTAAGATATATTATCAATTACGAAATCATTATTGTTTAGGCATACAAGAAATGGGTGTCAATACATGGCGAAGAACCATTACTTCCTGGTGTAAATCTTACTCATGATCAACTGTTTTTTTTGAACTACGCTCAGATATGGTGTGGATCCATGAGACCAGAAGATGCATTGACGAAAATACGAAGCAGCGTTCATTCACCAGGTCCAATAAGAGTTCTGGGTCCCTTATCCAATAGTGAAGACTTTGCCAGGGCCTATGATTGTCCTCCAGGCTCACCGATGAATCCAACTCAAAAGTGTAATGTTTGGTGAGTTTATTTAACTTGTAAAATATTTAAGATACTTAATTGTTTAGATTCTTAAACAATAAATTTAGATCTAAAATGTTTTAATAATATTTATCGATCATTCTTTTGTAATAATTGCAGGTAATAATGCAGAATTCTTTGAAAGAAAAAGAATAAACAAAAAAATATTTGGATACTTGTGGTGATATTTAATGCCACAATTATATTTCGTGCCATAAGAAGACTTTAATTATTTTATTGACTAGTGACCACGATGAAAGACCATGAAAGATCAGTATTATTTCATCGTGATTCACTTTGTGGTATGAATATTCTATACATCGTTCAACATATTAACTGAATTTTAAACAAAAGATGATCAGAATCTGTAGATATTTATGATCTTGTCGATGAATGCATTTTATAGGATGATTTAAATTCAATCTAATATCAATATTTCACTAATTAAAATCGTAGTTATATTTCAAGTGAATTATTTTCTTTATTAGTTCCGGTGATTCGATTTGCTGATCGATGTATAGTTGAAGAGAGGATTTTATTTCTGTGTATACATGCGTGTGTATGAAAAAGTGCGCCTGTTAAATAGAAATCGTGGAGAGAAAAAGTTGATCATAGTATCAGCTTAAAATTCCATGGATAAAAGCTACGTAAGATGTATATAAAAGATATGTTTTAATCATGTAATCCTAATTGTGTGATTCATCTCGTCGAAGACGAGTCTAAAATAAATTTTTCGATCAAATGAAACAAACAAAAATGAAAAAAATATCATATTTATTATTTTCCCTTCCCATTTTTTTTATTATAATTGTTAATAATTATAGAATTATTAATCATAGTTGATTAATTAATAGTTAATAAAATTTTTAGTAGATTGAATTTTGTAAAAATTTTATATCAAGTATAGATTCTTGATCGAGTTATTATAAATGTATCTTAAAATCGAATATAGTATAGCAATAGAGTATTCAAAATCTACTTTAGACAGATATATAATCCATTCATACTTTCATAGGTAAATGTAGGTCCAAAGGAAACATGAAATTATAAATCTCACAAAAATTTTTAGAAGAAAGTTTTTATCTTTTCTAAATTATTTAAATTAAAGATTTGTTTTATTAACTAATATATTTTATATTGAAAATCTTTTAAAAAATAGAAAGAACAGAATATAATGAATATAACATAGATTATCTATTAATAATTCACAAAAATGAAAGGAATTTATTAAGAATCGAGTATTTGTTGAAAGATTTATTCTATATTGGAACATATCATCCATACATAGCACGGTCAATACCGAATCGCTTTGTTTCATGTAAAAAAGGTGGAAATAAAAATAATATACAACAGACAGAGGGCTCTCCCTCTTTCTCTTTCTCTCACTTCTGATCTAATTATGATACTACTCTCAATATCATTTATCTTCTACTTCCCTTATGATTTACAAGAATTCACAAATCGAAATTAGAGATCTGTACATTCTTGTATAATTTAATTTAAAAAAAAAAAAATTATTTGTCATAACATATGTTGTTAAACGTCTATATATATATATATATATAATATATAACAATAAAATCAATATTTATAATAAATCGGTATCAATACCGAGTAAATAATAGATAACAATTAAAATACAAATTTATATTTTACAAGAGGAAATAAATTATATCTATATCTCATATCTTCGAATTTCATTCGAATGTATATATAATATATATATATGTATGTATATTATATATATATATTTAAAAATTATGATAATCGGAAGAGAAATAAATTAATGTACAAAATGCTAAAGAATTTCTCGAATATTTTGGGGATTATGCCAATCCTTAGCGTGTTCAGTGAGAGAAAGTAAAGAAGAGAAAGAACATCAGTCGACTCGATCAAGTCATCCAATTAATCGCGAATAACAATATGGCTACCAGCGATCTGTCGGTTTATGTACATGCAGCGGGTAAATTTATTTTTTCTTCTTTATCTTTTTTCTTCGTAAAATGATTATACTAGGAGGAGTTCTGTAAATGTTCATCTATTTTACATTCATTTGCAAGTGTTTATGCTTCGCTTGAAAAAAGTGAAAAAATTTTCAAATCGTTTCGCAATTCTCGAGCAATATCATTTTTCGATTAAAGATAAATATTTGCATTAATTTATTCGTCGTGTTGATTTGCTGAAAATTTTTTATACTTTTTTTTAATAATTATCACTTTCATCAGATTTTTTTCCTAGAATTTAAAATTTCGATGAAATTACCATTCAAATTTTGTATCTGTCTCGTAACTTCATGAATCATATGTGATCTGCATAATTGATACAATTATTAATACACGTGTAATTAATGTAAAACGATTCATTACTTATTTAGTATCCATACATGATTCATGAGAAATTCTTCGTTTTCTTTTTCAACAATATTTTTTTAAACAACCCACAGGCAGAATAATGCATTAAAAAATTAATCGAAAACCAATCAAAACGAATCTGTTTCGGATGAAAAACGAAATTTCCAATTTGCTTCTCATCGAAGTTTTTATTTTCTTTTCTATTATTTTCTTTCTATTATTTTTTTTTCTCAAAAAAATAGTGATTTCTTTACAATATTTCTCTCTCTCTCTCTCTCGCTTTCGCTCGCTCCCTTTCTCTCCCTCTCTTTCTCTCTCCATTAATCTACACCCTGATGCCCATGCATAATCGATTTATAGTAAATTTTTATTGCGTCCACGAGGTCGGATACGTATTTGCAATTATTTTCTTTTTACTCTCCATTTTTTTCTCTTTCTCTCTTTATTCCAGAAAAATATATATGTTTATATATGTATGTATGTATGTATGCATGTATGTATGTATGTATGTATATATGCAATATGTATATTTATATACATAACAGTGCCACGAGATAAAAACCGTCAACAATGGACAACATTTTGTTTCTTTCTTTCTTTTTCTTTTTTTTTTTTATATATCAGACTTTACGAAATAAGTACCAAAGTAAATCTGTCGTCCTGTTTCGTGTCACATTTTCGATTCTGTCATTTCGCGGAAATGTACAGGTAATAAAATATATTTATGATAAAATCCTTGAAATTGCCAGCAATTTTATTTCTTCTTTTCTTCCTCTTATATTTTTTTTTTCTCTTCATGTTTAATATACTCTTAAACACTACGGATGTGTGACTCTAATATGAGTAAATCAAGATGGCGGAAGAAGCCATGTTTTTCGACAAATTCTAACCTCTAACAGAAATATCAGAAAAACAATTATTAACCCTTTGAAATTAATCGTATTTTTTTTTTTTTCATTATAAACATTTTTTTGAAAGTTCTCTGCCTGAGAGCTGTTCGTTCAAACAAATATCCTCTATCATTCTTGATCTTTATTTTATACAGAAAATTTCCATTTCTTTTCTTCAACGAAACAATTTGTAAATTAATTTATTCATCTTTTCACTATGTTAATGTTTAACCATCATGTCATTGTGACATCAAGAAGCAAATTAAATCGAGGAAATGATGAGAGTTAAACGTGAAGAATACAGGGTGATGCGAATATCTCCATACGATGTGACAATGACGATGTTTCTTTTTTGCATGGAGGCTTGTGTTGAACATTATATATTGAACATCCCAGTGTAGATTCGTATATGGAGAATTTGGCATCAGCCTATAGAGAATTGAAACGTGAACAGATCTCCTCCATAGCTCGGCCAGCAACAATGAAACGAAAAAACAAGGGAGTGTGGGTAGTACAATGTACAAAGCTAATTTACAAAGGTGTCGTTCGGTTACCCTCTGTATTTTTTCACGGTTCGTATCGCGCTTCTTCGTCTCTGTTTCTTTTATATGTACACAATGCACTCTTTTTGAACTCTATGGCTTCTGTGGTTTCTCTATCTCTCTCCCTCTCACTCGCACACCACGCATTCTGTGTTTTCTTTTTTTTTTTTCTGTCTTCTTATTTCTACATAATTAACGCTTTTTTTTTTTTTTTAATATATATATATCGCCATTCGCCACTTTAAATCCCGCCAATCGTCAGAGAAATCATCGATTACGAATTGTTGCCCCTCGTACCACCATTTCGTAACGTTCCTCCCTCCCTTTCTCTCCTTGCCGATGAAAAGGCTTGCAATACTGTGTAAGAAAAATAAATAGCTTCCTCTCTTTTCTACCTCTTTGTTATTAGAATAAACTTTGAACGTTTCTTGGATTTCTTTTTTTTTTTTTTTCAGGAAAATAAATATTTCAACGATTCCATAGATATTTCTTCTGTTGGTATCGTTTCTTTCTTGTTTGTTTGTGTTCATTTTTTTTTTTTTTTTTTTTTTTTTTTTTTTTTTTTTTTTTTTTTTTTTTTTTTTTTAGGTTAGAATTTAACTTGTGGAAACCATGCAACGCCCTCTTTGCTCACCTATTTTCCATTGTTGTACTCAACACGGGGGACACACTGGTCTGAAAGAACCCCTTTTCCAGAATAATTTTGCAAAATTACCAAAAGGAGAGTTTTTTAACTGAAAATTTATACAAAAAGCAGTTTTCGAATTCCATTCTTTTTTTTTTTTTTTAATGGAAATCTCAAATTCCTTTTGTCGGAGAATTTTTACTTTTCTCATCTCGCATCTCACAGTATTGCATGTCAACAAAGCGCAATAAAATTCGTAAAACGAACAAGCTACAAAAACAATTTTCATTTTGTTAAAAAATCGGTGTGATCGAACTTTATGCTCGAAGATCAAGCTTGCAGTGTATTTTCATTAAAAATTGCAAAAAAACTTTTCTCTTTCACGCATAACGTGATTCATTGTACATTTTTAATCCTTCCTATCATATGGAATTCGAGAACGTCCCAAAAAAAAATCGAACTTCAGCTTACATAGTAGTTAAATGCATAAATACATCTTTGCATAAACTGTTCCTCATCGTATCGTTCGTTTTGAGACATTTCGAATTCGGAATAAAACTGAGATCTACGGAGATCTTCAACACAATTTTTCGTAAGATTCTTTCTATTCGAAATTTTGGATAAATGCAAAAATTCTGCCGGCTTTCTTTTACCTTTCTTTATTTAAAGAATCAATATGGCGATAGATATTAATGTTTTGTACTCAAATAACATTCAACAATTTTTTTTTTTTTTCATTTTTCAGAAACGTGCTCTCTCTATTTTCGTTCAAATTTTTGTTATAAATTATTTTTATATTCATGCAATTATAATTTTTTTTTTTTATAAAAGTTTTATTATTGTTCTTATGTATTTTGAAAGGATTGTTGAATAAAGACCGACTGAATTTTTGCACTTACCTAACAGCTTTATTCGCGCAGCATAACTTAGCAGCCTTGAGTTTCCAGTGGTTTTCAGCCATTCTTTCTCGGTTCATTGCTTATATGGAGCACTTTTGATATTCACTATTGCTTAAGAGGTGGAAGTTAATTTTTAAATTAACTTCGCGATATTCACTTCATGCCTTCGCAAATATTAACAAATTTTTTTAATTTTAAATCAAAATTAAATTATCCACGGAGAATTTGAATAGTTCTTCGTGACAGTTTCAAAGTATTTCCAGAGAAATTAAAATTGCACAATATCTTTGTTGTCAACCTTAAAAAAAAATAAAAAATAAAAAATAAAAAAAAAAATAAAAAAATAAAAGCACCATAAAAAATTAACACAATATAAAATTAATCAAATTTCGTAAATTTTGAATAAATTCTCGAATTATTAAATA